GGTAACCAACCTTGGGGCGGTACCAGCTGGGGCACCAGGAAGAGTGGAGATCATTCTATAATCATGCTGTTTGACATGTTCGTTTCTATGGAAATCTTTGAAATCACGTCCTTTGGTTTGAGGCTACGGCTACAGTCGTCTGTGGGTCTTTGATTCTCTCTGGAACAAGTCGGCAGTGACTCGCGTAGATTGATTCCATCATCATCCTCTGCAACAGTCAAGACGTCTCATGATTCTCATGGTTCAAAAGAAACGCCAGATAATCCCACCTCATTGAGATGCAAAAACTTTGAAACCATATGCAACCATTGTTTTTTACTGCTCTGAAGAGAATCTAGACTTTAACAACTATGACTATTAGTAATCATTATAATATAGTACTTATGCCAACATCAATGAATCGTCTACTAAACCAAATGATGTCTATAGTAATATATAAGCACCCATCACTTTAGTGAACTTCTTCCTCCAGGCAGCCTTCATGGGCATTTACATCCATGGAGCGGTTTCTGCCTCAGCCTTCCGCGAGTTACGCGCGAGAGTTCAACGTTTGCCAAAGAGAAAAACCTGTGGTTTTTCGGGCGGCCTCAAATAACGAAAAAACATTGAATTGCATAATCATGGAATTCAGGGCCTCAGAGCAACCACCAAATAGAAGAGTGAAGCCTTACTAAGTAGTGATACACTACTTTTTCTTGTTTGGGGGTTGCTATAAAACCAGTTCGGGATTTATGATATGTGAACCAGACGTAAGTCCTTGCACACAGAAAACACGTCTACTACCAGGCCTTTTACCAGTGAAACTGGTGACCTGGGTGAGGCCTGCTTCGGTCTGGAGGCCGTCTACCATGCATAGCAGGACACCTTTGGCACGGATATGGGGTGTTAAAGATGCAAAGTTTCAATGCAGTGGAACCTGTGACCCGTGGAGCACCATTGACCCAACGATGTGTCTTCCGGCTCCACTTTCATGGTCAGGATGGCACGCCATGAAGCATGCTGCGCTTCCATTGCCCTGGACCAAAAAGGAGCAACCTTTCCCAGGATTTTCTTGGTCGGTTGGGGGGTACCTCCCGTAATCTAAGAACCACTGGGATCCACTGGGGTAGATGGTACCCAACCGACCCCTCCATGAAAACTATCCGGTGGGACTTACATCCTGCGCAGGTGGATGTTTTGGTTTTGAACGTCTCTTGGCAGCCGGCAGACTTGGCATTTTTGAATGGGCCCCAAACTGGAATCAGGGGTATACATAGGTCAAAATTAGGTACCCTAATAATTAGATGGCTAATACGTACTAAACATATACTAAAATCTGTGGTTCCATAGGGCTTAAATTTTGACTCGTACCCATATGGATATCATGACTCATGACTGTTGATTCTCCAGTTAACGCATCAGAAGGGGGGTCCCACCTGCGGTAAGGCTGGTGTGATGCGGCGCAGCCGCGAAGTCACAGAGGCCCCGTTGGGCCCACAGAATGGGCCCGTGATGGCTACAGTGCCACGAGTGGAATGCAAGCGGGAACTGATTTTGGCAATTTTGAGGGGAGGGCTAATTATTTTAGGATTTTTTTTTGATCAGGTTTAGGAATTATTTTTGGATTCCTGCTTCTCTGCTTTTCCTGCTTTTCCTGCTTCTCTGCTTTCCTGCTTTTCCTGCTTTTCCTGCTTTTCCTGCTTTTCCTGCTTTTCCTGCTTTTCCTGCTTTTCTGCTTTTTTGCTTTTCTGCTTCTCCTGCTTCTCGCCTTTTCTGCTTTTTTGCTTTTCTGCTTCTCCTGCTTCTCTGCTTCTCTGCTTTTCTGCTTTTTTGCTTTTCTGTTTTTCCTGTTTCTTTGCTTCTCTGCTTTTCCTGCTTTTCCTGCTTCTCTGCTTTTCTGCTTTTCCTTCTTCTTTGCCTTTCTGCTGCTTTGCTTTTGTGCGTTTCCTGTTTCTTTGCTTCTCTGCTTTTTTGCTTCTCTGCTTTTTTTTGCTTTGCCTGCTTTAAATACTTGATTTTCATGTAAGATGCATTTTGCACAGTATTTACATCCCTGAGTATCACATGACCAACCTTCTCTTGAAAACTAGCAAATGTGAGAAGAGGTGCTTGCATTCTGCTTTGGGGGGAGGCGCTGCGCCCTCCCCCCAATCCCCCCCTCCCGTTTTTTTTTTAATTTAAACTTAAACCCAAGTTACACTAGTTGGTTTTTGCGAACTAACCTTCTCTGGAAAGCTGACAGGATTACATGTGATAGATAGATAGATAGATAGATAGATAGGTAGATAGATAGATAGATAGATAGAGAGATAGATAGATAGATAGATAGATAGATAGATAGAGAGATAGATAGATAGATAGATCGATAGATAGATAGATAGATAGATAGATAGCCAGCTAGATAGATAGATAGCTAGAGAGATAGTTAGCTAGATACCTCGATAGATAGATGGCTAGATAGATAGCTAGATAGATAGCTAGATAGATAGATAGATAGCTTGGTAGATAGATAGCTAGATAGATAGATAGCCAGCTAGATAGATAGATAGCTAGAATGATAGATAGCTAGATACCTCGATAGATAGATGGCTAGATAGATAGCTAGATAGATAGCTAGATAGATAGATAGCTAGCTAGATAGATAAAGAGGTAGCTAGATAGATAGCTAGATAGATAGATAGATAGATAGCTAAATAGATAGGTAGATAGTTAGCTAGATAGATAGATAGCTAGATATATAGCTCGATAGCTAGATAGCTGGATAGACAGCTGGATGGCTAGATAGATAGATAGCTAGATAGATAGAAAGCTAGATAGCTAGATAGCTAGATAGATAGTTAGCTAGATAGCTCGATAGCTAGATAGCTGGATAGACAGCTGGATGGCTAGATAGATAGATAGCTAGATAGATAGAAAGCTAGATAGCTAGATAGCTAGATAGTTAGCTAGATAGCTAGATAGGTAGAAAGATAGCTAGCAAGATAGCTAGATAGGTAGATAGATAGCTAGATAGATAGATAGCTTGCTAGATAGATAGCTAGCTTGCTAGATAGCTAGCTAGATAGCTAGCTAGCTGGATAGATAGCTAGCGCCCTCCCTCAATCCCCCCCACCCGCTTTTTATCTAATCCCAAGCTTCCGCGTCTGTAAATATTTGGGTGAACATGCTCACATGTAGAACATCCCATGCAAAATGGAAGGTGAACATGCCAAAATGTGGCAATTCCATACAAAATGGAAGGTGAACATGCCCACATGTAGGAAATCCCATGCAAAATGGAAGGTGAACATGCCAAAATGTGGCAAATACCATACAAAATGGAAGGTGAACATGCCCACATGTAGTAAATCCCATGCAAAATGGAAGGTGAACATGCCCAAATGTGGCAAATACCATGCAAAATGACAAATTCAAGTTCCAAACCGTTGCAAACACTAGGCAAATGGTACCAGCCAAGAAATCCAAAAAAAATTCCCAAACCTGCTCAAAAAAAAATTCCCAAACTCAAAATCGAAACCCGTGCTGTAAGGTATATGCTTGGCAAGACTCCAGTTGATGAATAGCGGGATTCAGCAGTGACTTCCAACATCCAACTCTTTTCTCAACACCCCATTTCTACAAGTGTGGACCATGCCCCAGTCTATTTGAATCTTGAAAAGTGAGCGCCACTTCAAATGAAAGTGGGGTGGTGGCCGATACCCCAATGGGTCTGAAAATGGGGTATACAGTATACAGGTATACATGGGTTTACAATGGTATACACATATCCTGCAAAATTGGATGTCAATAGGACAATTGATGATTCACCAGCGGAGTTTTGAGTGTATTTGGATGTGCACCCCACTTAATTTGTTTTTCAATCCCATAAGTTATAGCCCACATAACTGGGGATATTTCATGATATTTCCATATATGAACGGATTCTACTAAGGTTATCAACCACTTGTAACAACTTACTAAATGGAATGCAACGGCAAACCCACACGATCTCATTCTGAATTCAGAAATCGAAGCAGAAAATGCCACGGTCACAGGATGGCTTTGAGCTGACAATGGCCGCGAACCACCTTGGGCACTTTCTGTTGGCAGGGCAACCTGGACGTGGCGCCGTGGCGGGATGTTCGATGGGGATTTAGTGGGTCTTAACTCTTAACCAACAAACAGGGGTGTAAAAGAACGGTATAAAAGAAACTATTTTATAGGGATCTAATGGGATATTGAATCAAAGATTGTGATTTTTGTCTCAAAATATCATGGTTGATCATTTGATCCTCATTTCCCCATTGAACTGGTCACAAACTGGTGGGAAAAAATCAATCTTTTTGCACACACACACAAACATATTTTTTTTCGGGAGCTGCAGCAAGGGAGTCCTACGTCATGGCATGGCCGGTAGCTGAACATCCTGCCAGCATTCTGTTTGGTTTTTGAATGTATAAAGTTATATAAAGCCAGGTATCTTTGTCTCATGTTTATCTTATTTCTTTAGGGATCGATTAGAGGGTCCTTTTTACTTAACAAACCACCTCCCGACGAGTCGATCGTAGCCAGCAGTCAACGTTGGACACTGGGACCATGGCTTGCAATGGGACTTGGTGCTGAAGTCGGTGCTTTTTGGTGAAGTGAAAGTCTCCTCTTCAGGGGACTGAAAAAATCATCACTTGGAGTACATCAGCATTGCGATTTCAACCTTTCTTTGAATGTTTGTGTGGGAGGTGAGATATCCATGACACCGCATGGCCGCCGCAGCAAATACCCAGATTTAGATCCCAGCACAGAATCATTAGATATTCACAGCACAGAATCAGCAAACCTCCGGAAGGCCCACAATTCAGTGCTGTTTTAACGTGCAAGTGTGGACTTGTCATGTTTTCCAGACATTTTTTCTGAACATCCGATTTGATGGTCAAGGTCACAGTAGCCTCTTCACAGGAGCCTTGAAGGAATTCTGAGATCTTTTGCGATACCGTACCAATCCCAAGCCCAGTAGACCTCAAAAAAAAGGAGCCACCAATAGCCATAGTGGCGTCATGGCGTTGCATGGCAGCCCATGTGCCTTGGCTTGGGATGAAGATCCTCAAGGATCAGTCATGTCAACCCTGGAAACACCCCAAGCGGCTGTCGATTGGGGGGAGGGGGGGGTACCATTTAAGTATCAGACGATCACTAATTATCGGTGTCTTTTCTCTTTTGAAGCAATGGCCAGTCTCAGAAGCCTCGATCTTTGGATCTGATCATCGATGAAATGTTTCAGGAGACAAAGGGGCTCTATGATGGAGCCGTTGAACCTGAGGATTTTTCAGTGCCATCTTGCCAGAGAGTACTGATGGACACAGGTGACATTCCATGAATGGAGGATCGGTTTTTACATCCAGGAAATCGCAAGTGGATAATAGCATACAATAGCTAAACCCCAGGCAAACAGTGCCAGGAGCCCTGTACAACTGGGAGTTTTTTTTACATAGAGACACACATATCCAGAAATGTAACACTGGTTTTATACCGCAAAACATGGCTACCCATATTTACTAATCCAACATAGCGCTGGAACATGGATGAACCTGGATGAACATGGTATGTTTGCAGATGATTTGCCAAAGTGGTTTTTCCATAGCTATACATAGCTACGTGAACGATTACCAGAGGGTCAAGTTTAAATTTGATGCTTAACCCATGTTTGTTTGTTATAGTTATAACCACCATCATCCACCATTCTTCAGATTATTAACGATCATTAACGACAATTAAGCATTATTAACCATCATTAAGTCTTATTAAGATCCATTCTTAAGTATATAGTGAACTATCATGGACCATTATTAACCCATTATAAACCATGATGTAGCTGTCATGAACGGTGCCCAGCGGGTCGCCTTCCAGGAACGTCCTAGAGGGTGCGGCGAACATTGCTCGGCGCTCCGTCCGACGAAT